CACGCACGAACACACACACGACACCACAACACACGACACCACACACACACACACACACACACCACACACATTGGCACGCAACCTTGGTATATAAGCAGGGAAGATGTGTTGCAGACTAATATTTAGATTTCGGGGAGAGGTTTTGAAGAAGGGCAGCCGCATTTTCTTTTCACGTTTCTTTTCAGGTGTTTTTACCAAATAACCTGAAGAGCAACAGGCTTGTTCAATGATTTCGCACCAAGCGTCGTCCACGTGTGCTGACCTGTTGCTGTCTTCTGTCAAGGAGACCGAAGAGCGGAGGCGGTGGAAGACTATAGGCTCTGTGCTGGGTTGGGGGGTTTATTGTTCGGTTGACAGAGATGATGGGAGATTTACCCAGATGTTGAGTAGTGAGCGCGGAGTTATGGTTTATGAATGTTGCGAGTTTGAGCTCTGTGTAGACCTTGTTTAGTTTAACAGTTCAGGTAACTTATCAGTTCGTTTGGTTTACACGGGGAACAAAGTAGTTGGGCGGCAGCCATGAGGTGGAGAGGAGAACAGGTGACCGGTTTTTACACGATTGGGAAGTTTTATCTTTTTAGCTACACTAGTGATGAGTACTGTATATAGATCGTGCTGAGTTTTTTATGGTGTTTAGTTGGATGTTATGCGCGAGTTGTCTATATTTTTTTTATGTATTTTTATTTAGTGTTGTATATGTTATTTGTTGTATTCTATTTGCATTCTTATTTTCTTAGTGTTAGGGATTATTTAATTTAATTAACAATCTTATATTATTATCATTTGTAGTTGTCTGTGGATATTTTCATTTTTTTTATTTGATTTTTTTCCTATTATTTATAATTACTATTTTTTCGTTTTATATTTCGTCTTATAGAGCTAAGTATTTTAGCCTGGCCAATATCTTCTGCTGGCACTACAGGTACTGTCATACAAGAGGCTGTTTTGTCGGGGACAGCAGTTTTATTTATTCAAACAAACTGCTTGTTCTTCTTGCGGATTTTGGGATTCTCACGTTGGCCAGTAGTTGTGGATTGTCATTTTTGATTAATTGTTGCAGCCCTTTTGTGTTTTTTATGTGTGTGTTTATGTCAGTTGTACGTAATGATGCTAATCGTTTTTGTTGTTGGTTTAGTTTGTGCTGTATTGTTTGGTTTTATTGGTTGGTGTGTGTGTGTGGTGTGTGTGTTGTGTACTAATATGTTGATTCCTCCATTTTGATTTTATTCGCGGCACAGCCACCAGTAGCCTTTCCTTATTTGACGGATCGTCTGTGTGTTGTGGGGTCTTTGTTTTTTGGTTCTATTATACTACAAGTTTTTATCTACTTTATGGTGAATAGCGGCACCAACAACCATTCTTGGAAGGATTCTAGGACCAGTCAGTGGCAAAACGAAGCACTCTCAATAGCCACGTTCTGAAGAGGAGGGGTCAGATAGGTATTTATGACTTTCTGTCGTGTATGTTATTCAATTATAAGTTCTTTTTTTTATGTCTCTTTTATGATATAATATAAGTTTTTGTTGATTGTGTTTGAGTGGATTATTTTGTTCTGTTATTTTAGTTATTTTTAGTTGTTGTGACAAATCCAACAAGATAATGTTTAATAGGTGTGGATTTGGTGTTGGTAGTAGCGAATAGTCTATTGAAGGTGGTGAAATACGAAAGGGTTGGTGTTTTACTTTGTGATAGAGGAGCAGACTTTTTTTTTCCCTTTTCGACCATGGTCGGATTATTATTTTACTTGTTCCGACTGTTGCCGTATTCACCACATGGTCACACAACAGCATTCATCCACACACACACACCACACACGGTACCTTCAAACAGGATTATGTGTTTCTTTCACTATTTTAAAGGAATGATAGAAACTGCAATGGATTGATATGTTTATATATGGATGGCTTCTTTGTTAGATGTGTGTTTTTGTGGTTTTTATTGAGAGTGTTTGTTGTTCTGGGCTATGAGATGGTTGTTTTTTTAAGAAATCTGCGCACCTTATATAGGTTTTAAAATGGAAAAATAATCACATTATAAAAGGTTCAGGACTACGGATCTAAGAATATTAAATGGCTTAGGCCTTCTATTTGTTCAGGTTCTATACATCTGCAACGATTGGTGGGTTAAATGTCATTAAATGGTAGCTTGTTGAGTGTATAAGATTAATAACCAATCAAGTGGAAAACGGTTAAGTTTTGTCAGTAGCATAATGTTTCATAGGCGCCGCAGGTTGCTTGCTTATAAGGGTCTCTCTGTATATGCTAATCAGTTACAATTGGGTTGATGCTTATGACCCAGATAAACAAACGATTCTCTTTTTGTTTTTCCATTACAGCACTCTGTGATTTCGCTATGGGAATTATTGTTATCGAGAGAGTTGGTGTGTTTTTTTTCCAGTTTGGTAGTTTTCTTTAAGAATTCTCGGTTATTACTGCCGAACTTACATAAAATCAAGATTGGGGAATGAAAGCGATGAGGAGACCATCGCAGAGTAGCTTCCACTTGCATGTTAGCACAGTGAAGTGTAACTTGTGGTTTAAAGTGGTCCAGGGGTGTAACATAAGGAGGAATCTATTGGACGAGAGAATGGAAGTATAGTACTTCATTAGTATGTTGTCGCATTAGGTGTGATAAATCGCCTGAGATTGTGGTAGTTTTGTTGTTACCTCAGAAGTAAGCCTGTTTTGAGTATCTACAGTCCAAACGCAGTTGTTTGAACTGCCGATGCTTCATACGCTAAAGGGTTAGAAGAAGTGCATACTCGGGCTCGTAAGAAGGACTGGTGCGCTTTCCAGCTGTTTCAATTTTTAGTAATGTCACTCTTGTATGTATGTTTTCTTCCCCCAGACGGTTGGAAAGGGGGGAAAGTGAAAGGAGTGATTGCAATCTGCATGACTGGACGCTGCTAGGATGGGGCCAACTTGATATCGTACACAGTTGGACTTGTTTACGCGAGTGACTTGCATTGTCTTGGACTATGTTGGGAGAATGGTGGGTAGCTATGTTTGGAACAGAGTTGGTTTTCTCCCTGTCTATTACAGTAAAAGTAGGTCATCCAGAGCAAGCAAGGGTAGAGGAGCGTTGTCTGGTTCCAAATTTGTTATGGCAGTGGGATTGAATGTAGTGATTGTGATATGGAATTCCACCTCGTTCTGCCTCCTTTGTCATCGCAGTATCAAAGGTGATCAGAGGCAAGGTGAACTGGCGCATCGAAAAGGAGTGGAGCAGCAGAAGAGAGGTTGAGGGCGAGGAGAGCTCGCGCCTGTTGCGCAGGAGAGTCAGGCGGCACTCCGCGCGAGTCGTAGGTGTGCCCTCCCGCCCCCCCTGTGTATAAATTGGTGTGCGATGTCGCATGGTGCTTCGGCAACATTCCCCTGGAATGATTACTCAAAGGAGAAAGGACAGGGAGAAGACCACAAGCACGGGGAATGTAGGAGGGGGAGCAGGGGACCGGTTTCCCCAGATGAGCCTCCGCAGCTATGAACTGTAACAAAAACTAAGGCAGAAGGAGATGCCAGAGAGGACAGAATATGGAGGACTGGAAGGCAGAAGGAATCCGGAAGTAGGATTACGCCACCTTCGCACATCAGTGGGGAAGATGGAATGGCACCCCTGCACAACGCCGGCTTGACTTAAGTGGATTCAGGTCCAAGCTCTCTGCTCGTGCAAGAGCAACGTGGCAGGGAGGGACTATGATTTAGCGTCTAGCAGGCAGGAAAAGGAGGCGCAAAAAAGGGAGGAGAGGAGGGAGGGACGAGGAAGGCGGGCCGATGCGCTTTGGAGATTTGGAAGATTGGGGAGCGAGGATGAAGGAGGAGGAGAAGCAGGAAAGCGTTTAGAGACCTCTCCTCTCTTCTGTGTACAGGAAGAGCTCTGTGTCCGAAGGTCGCCCGCGCCGCACCCGCTCTCGGTTCAGGCGGCGGCGCAGAAAATAGAGTTTGGAGGACCCAACACAGACAGCTGCACAGGAAGCCTCTGCTTGGGCTGCGCGAGGGCGAGAAGGGCCAGACAGCTGCGATGAGAGGGAGACTGCAGGGGTATACGTTAAAACCAAAACATTAATTTTGTGGGTTGGCGTAGGGTGTGATGTACTCTGTTAATGTTAGGGGCTGTTAAGAGATATTTGTTGCCGAAGCTCAACGAATATGACTGTAGAAACGCAACACAGAGTAATTTAGATCAGAATGTCCAGTCATGGTCTGTCGATTGTATGTTATCTTTGGAGTTCTCCTTGTTTGTTAGTTTGGCTTGTGTTGTGTGTGTGTGTGTGTTAAGCGAAGTGAAACCCTAGCAGTGTAATGGCTCAAATGTCTGAAAGTGCAGCAGCAGCAGCAAAGGACCATATGTTTAAACTATCTCTGCAGTGCTCACCACACACAAAGATTGACACGTTCATAGTCATACAGACACCTGTCTGAGAGCAAATAGAATGTGCAGGTGTGTATGGTGTGAAAGGGTGTATATGTGTGTGTGTGTGTGTGTGTGTGTGTGTGTGTGTGTGTGTGTGGAAGGTATTGTGCGTTGAGGACTTGCTATTAAATATTGAAAAATGCCAAGATAGGCTTCACCTGATTAATTTGTTACACTTGCATGAGCACACACCACAACAGAAACACATCACACACTCTTCACCAAATAACACAACCACACACACACACTCAAACAAAGCCAAACTCTAAATGACAGACACTGACAATATATATAGAATTACAGCAAACAATAAAAAAAAAAGGGTTAGGGTTAAAAAAAATTACTTGGAAACAAAACAGACACACACACACACATGCACAAGCCTGCAGACTGACCGACTGTGCGTCTGGCAGATGTGTTTAAGAGTGTCCAGATGCTGGGTTGCCAATTGGGGAAAAGTCCTTCCACACCGACTCTCTGATAGAGACAGAGAGACAAAAAAAGATACAGGCAGTTAAAAGCATGGTCATAACTACGAGAAGGCTTCTATGAGCTGAGCTCCCCTGTAAGCAACACAAATGGTATCTGGGTCCATAATCCTAAATGTTTCCTGATGGAACTTCCCTTATAAGATCACTAAAAACGACATCAAATATATATTATTAGGAGACACCGAGACTGCAGTTATATTGTTGAGTAGTTGATAGCTGTGCATGAGGGCACATACAGTGCAGCTTTTATACTTAGACTTATTTCTATGTGTACGCTATATAAAATATATAGAAAGCCTGCTGGTTAAGACAGTATCTGCAAAAAGAAAGACTCTGTTTATATTATATTACAAAAAATATTTTGTTATGTAGACAAAAATGTACACCACGTTTGTGTATGTGTGCATGTGCTGTGTGCATATGTTACCCCACTGTTCTTGTAGTGCATTCAGATTGTCCAATACTCTCTGGTGATAGAGTGTCTCTAGCTGGATACACCATAATGCCCGCTGGTCTGAACAACACAGGTTAAGAATCACATATACACTATACAACAGACCCTACAGAGAACTGCATCAACGCTAAAACTCTCTTGGTTTTCTGTTCATGGACCATTACAGCTGACCGAGGTAAAGGGAGAAGAGAAAGTGACAGAAAAAAAAAATAGGAGGACAAAATGAGACAGAGGAGGAAACAGAGTCAGGCCAAAAGAGATGCAGTCTCTCATGTTTATGGATATGGGCAGCCAAAACACAATCCTTCTTTGACATGACTCAATGCTTTCTCTCTCTCTCTCTCTCTCTCTCTCTCTCTAAGTAACCCTCTGTACATGCTTCTTGACATAGCTAAGCTAGCTTTCTCTACTCTTTCATTTCTTCCCTCCCACTGCATCTCTTTCCTCTGATTAAACCACGGTCAAAAATTCAAATTCTTTCGCATTGCTCGCTCTCCTGCCTTTGTTCTTCCCCGTCACCCCTTCCTCCTATTGAATTTAAGTGTTTGAGTGCATTTGGTTGTGTGAGAAACGCCATTTCCATTAAAAAAAAATAAACAATAACTAATCATAACCAAGAACCTTTTGATATGTAAACAGCTAAAAAGCTCAGCATTGTATTTCACGAAAAGGGATCTTCATATCAATCAAGTGATTATCATTACTTACTGCTTAGTCATAAATTATCTGTAAATACTGTAATCTTCCCTTATCTGACAAGTGTATTGTTTTGGCAACATGCTGTAGTTTTCTTTCCTGTCAGCTTTGTCTATCTATCTTCCCTCTGTGTATTTGCCTTCTTTCTCTCTGCCCATGGGCATTATGCATAAGTCAGATCAGCTACTGCTTTTCCTCTCTCTGTTTCATCTTCTGTAATTACCTCTCTTCATGTTCTCCTTTTCCATTCTGTCTCTTTCTTGCTTTCTTCTCTCTCTGATCACTTGTTTTCCACTCTCTTTTCTCTTGCTACCCTTTTGATCACACGGTCTGTAAAGTCAGTGAGGTAATAACCAATCCACTTTAACTTTACTGCAACAAGTCACTCCAAATTAATGAATACAAATACATGTATGGACAAACAGGCAAGCAGCGAGGTGAAGCACACAGGAGACAAGTGTATGATATGCATAGCACAAAACCAACCCCAACATGCACAGACACACACATACTGACACAGTGATAAGGATACAGTCTTTGTGAAGAACGAAGGCCTCAGCAATCTGCAAAGAGAGAGAGAGAGAGATTACAACTTTGAGTTATGTCACAGAAGCTATCAGGGAAACTGGCTCAATAGGGGATTGAAACCAGTCTGAAACTATTCATTACTTTGGTTCCTGAACATGAAGAAAACATGTACAAAATATGCCAATATAGAACATGGAAAAGCCACACTGACTATACAGAGCTGTAACCGTACTGCTAGTGCTGTAATGACTTCTATAATCATTAACTATGACAGAAAAAATATAAGGAGATCTCAGACACATGATTAAATAGTTAAGCAGTTAACCAAGTCCCCTGTATTTAGGAGAGACAGAGTGAAAATGAGAGGGAGAGTGGAAAACAAGACAGAAAAACGAGAGACCATGGCAGACACTCTACCTCTCTTCAGCAAGTCTCACTTTCATGCTGCTCAGCTGATCGTAGAACAAGAGAAGTGTGTGTGAGGGAGAGAAAGGCAGAGGGAGAGAGAGAGAAAGAGAGGAGGAGGAGGAAAGGAGGGTACAAAAGGCTCTTGCATTATTAATGAAGTGAGGGGCGGTGACGACTGAGTGACCTCTATAGGTAACTGTACTGACATGGTTCAGATACAAAGTCGGAGAGAATTTATTGAGAATTTTGTTTTCTGATTTATTTATTTTTTTACTTTAGTTATTCATCAGTTACGCCACAAATAAAGCACCTATCCACCAAAATCACAGTCCAAGAGAACTTTTTGCTACATTATGTTTGTGGCCGAAAACAATTTAAAACCCTAAAATTCAAGACAAGCCAGATCAAAAGAGTATTTAAAATGAATTTAATGCTAATCTTTTTGCCATTTTTCTGGACATGCTCTCAATGAAGGCTGTACAATTTGTCCATTCTTTGTCCCTCCATTAGGCTTCCTCTGTTGGGTTTCCAACAATTTATTTTTATGCTAATAGTGTTGGCTTCAAAACCTCTAGCTATTAGTGATCCCTGCCGCTCTGTCCCTCTTTCCAAAAACCGGATTAGTTTATTTTAATAACTTAATGACCTTATCGTTCTATTTATCTTTGATCGTTGATAACATCTACGGTGTTAGGCACTTAAGTTATTAAACAATAATTTTCTTTCTTAATCTAAAAATAATGATGCTCACATTAATTCTATTGTTTCACCTGGCTGTTATTGTAGTATTGTCAGATACTAGAATATAATTAGCATGTCATATTAACCATTGTTAAGAAGGAGTGATTGTAGACATGCCCGTGCGTGCCCAGCAAGAACCTTGCAGTACAAAATGACCAAACAAACAAAGATTTAAATGTGTTTTTCAACAGCAAAAACATTATTTTGCTGCATTTAGGCCATCTGCATGACCTTTCATACTTTATAACTAAAATAACTTTATAACTGCAGCATGCACAAATATGTTCATCATGAAGGCTGGAACCCGGAAATAGGTATACGGTGCAAAAGAAAGTCATAAAAAATTACTGACCTTTAATGGTAAGTTAGTAATGTTTTAATTAGACATGCAAATAATTGCTTTTGAACAGTAAGATTATACCTGTTTATACCTCATTTTCTATAATCACCAAAAGTAAAAAGTAACTTTTCATTTAAAAGTTGTCTGGAGCTTTTGACTGGAGTTCTTACACACAAGGAGATTTGTGCTATGATGCCTGTTTTCTCATAAAGATGTGAATGTGATGTGATATACGCCAATATACACACCTGCTAAAATACATGCAAAATAAAATGACACTTTAAATCCGGTGTAATCATTTATAGACTAATCTGATTTCTTTCCTAAATAGTTTTACAGAGATTTGGATTAAAAACAAGAGGTTGTGGTTTGCACCTTGCCTAAAGTAGTATTTAGTAGTTGTTTTAGTGCGGTTTAATTTAAGGTAAAAACTTTTTCCCATATCTCTTCCACACACACACACACACACACACACACCTGTTTGCCTGGAAGTAAGCATAACTCAAGTGTGCCTGATTGAGGCATTTGTAAATCAAATTGACAGAAATATTTACACACCCTATAACATACATGTCCAGTCATGCAGGTGTAAGAGAGAAAAGAGCAGAGAAAGACTGTGCCTCTGAATTATGTGCGTACCTGCGTGCATGTCTGTGTTTGTGTGTATGGACACTGAAGACACCCATGCCTCAGGGTACAAAGTGCCATTCAGATTATGGTGTTGAGTGGATAACAGTGATTTAATAACTAGTGTGAGAGCAAGAGTATAAAGAGACTACAATGACAGAAAGACAGTGAGAAAAAAACTTTAAGAAACCATTAAAGAGAAGAGTGATTCCCGATACACAGCTCTCAGTATCTGACATAAGCCAGAAGTAAGACAAACAGGTTACCTGGTGCAGGTACTGTGGAAGGTGAGTGTCATCTCCTCTTTGCGCCAACTGCTTGAGAGACTCCAGCAGAGCAGGGCTTGGATTAGGCCCTGTGGCGCAGGTGGAGACTGAGAAACAAGCGGGCACTGGAGTGGAGGTAATGTGTTCCCAGTTTGAGGTCACAGGTACTATAGTGGAATTGGATTCTGTACTGGTAGCTGAAACAGTTACTGTCAATGTCTCCGCAGTTGAGGTGGGTCCGGCATATGCACTGGCAACCCCTTTGGCATATGCAAGCCCATGGTTGAACAGGGGCTCTGTGGATGAGGCAAGATGTTCTGTAGTGAAGTTAGTATTTTTTGCTATTCTGTCTGTAGCTTGTACGATACATGCAGGCCCAGGTGGGCTGGTGTCTGAGGTCATAGTCAGCGTAGTTGAATCTATAAGCCCTGTGGTGAAGGTCGGTCCCAGTGTAATGGACCCTGAGGCAACTGATTCAGTGTTGGAGTTATAAAAGTCCACTTTGACATCACTCTGGCTCAGTTCCACTTGACTAGTGGGATATGCAGTTTCTGGACTGACCACTGGAATTACAGGGGATGTAGGCTCTGGACTGGTCCCAGGACTGAAAGGATATGGAGTCTCCAACAGACTGCCTACAGAGGGAAAGAAAGACAGCAGGAAACAGAAAAAGAGATGAGAGAAAGACCGAGAATAATTAGGGCAGAGTGAATGTGCTGAAACGAGAGGACTCCTGAGAACACAGTTGTATAAAGGACTGTTAGATTTAAGCAGTCCCAATACAATATGAAAATCTGATTTGGGAAACAACATTTTTAAACAGTTGAAAAGAACCAACCACCTCGGCTTATTCTTGTCCATAGACAAACAGATGGATTGCTTTAGATTTTACATATAATTTATAAGCTAATACCCATCTTTTGGGGGAACAGAGCTCTAGAAAACACAGAGAGCATCTGAACAACAAAAACTTCACACATCAATTGCACCTTGCGTCAGAGAGGCAGCGTGTGCTTGTGTGCAATAAACTGCTAAGCTATAAACTGGTTTTGTTACAGATTACCGTGTCTGGCTAGCAAGAAAATACTGTGTGTGTTTGTGTGTGTGTGTGTGTGTGTGTCTACTCTAGGAGTTTACAATTCTCAGTCAGACATGTGATCAAAATGACATCATCAACCCCAGTCAGCCTGACCTCAATCCCAAATGCTGACCACTTAAAAACACACAAAAGGCATTGAAACTGTGAGGAATCCAGACCCTGACCAGAGTGTTGGCCTTCAATACACACTCACTTCTTGAACTACCGCAGTTAAGCATTGAAAGCTAATACTCAATGACTCATAGCAAGAGTCTATATTAAAATACAGTTGCTAGATTATTATTGAGTCAATATTTGTGAACAAGAGCCCCCCATAGTTAAAAACAGCTAATCTTGTACTGTCAGAGATAACATTTCCACAATACAGTCATTGGATGGAGGATCAACATAAACTCAAATTAAGCTGGAAATTATATAGACTTTATTAAACAGTAAAAAATATTTTTAGATTTTTAGAGTCTGTATTTAGTATATTCTTATATCAAATAATTTGATGTGTTGGCAGCTCATTGTGTTGGTTTTACCATCTGAAAAATATCTTTAAAGTTCAGTCTCACTCACTCTCTATCAGCAGCCTTGTTTCCATCAGATGGCTGTTTGAATTGGTCGATAAACCCACTACATGTTACAAACGTCACACAGACAAAGGTAGTGGTTATCAGGTAGTTAGAGAAACACCTTCAAATGAATATTAACATTACACTGTGTCTGTTGGGTGTGTGAAAGGTAATAACATGCTCAGTTGTGTATCAGTTAGCTTGCTGTTTTGTTCTACTGCCCCCAAATGGCCAAAAAAAAGTATTGAGGCAAAAAGTAAGAAGCAGAGATTATACCATGTGTGAATATAATCTAATTTTCTCTCTTGTATGTATGTTCCTTACCAGTTTCTGAATAGGAGGAATCAGTCATGGGAGTGTCTGGAGACTGGCAGCGAATTAGACAGCTTGAGCCCTCTGATCCTTCCTCCTCTTCTTCGTCCTTCATCACCTCATCAGTGTCTTCTTCCTCATCCTCCTCTCTACCTCCTCCCATGTAGCCCTCCTTTTCCTGTTCCTCCTCCGTGTCCTTCCCACTGTTGCTGAGGGAGGCTTTTTGGATGAGCCCAAGCCCTCCTCTGTCTTCATTTTGTGAAGGAGAGAGACTTTGAGTCTGTGTGAGGGTGTTGGCTTCATTGAGATTTCGAGTTTGGGGAGTGAGAGCCTCAGGACTGGGTAGGTTATCACAAAGGTCAACCCCGCCCACCTGTGCTTGGGACATTTCTCTGGCCTCCCTCTCCAACTGACCTGGAGATAAAACAAAGGCTCAGTTGAAATTACAATTATATTAATAAAGTAACAGACCCAAAGAACAATGGCATTCCTATACACCATGAATGTTGTTCAGTTCCCTTTGACTCTATATTTAAAAGGTCAGCTGCAACTTGAGACAAAACAAGCAAAGCATAGGGGAAAAAAGCCCACCTTGTTCTGAACACCATTTAGTTGATGTGAATGTGAATTGTGAATCACATCCAATTAGTATTTATATTGTGGTTTTGAGGCTACTATGCTTAAATATGTTGAGCTTGTGTTTTGTGCTGTGAACTTTTAACACTCACCACCATGATCCATCTGGCACCGCCCTCACAATGTTTGACCTTTCAGCCTGAAGGTCAGTGCTGCCTACGAGACGAGCCCTTCTTCAAACCTGCACAGATAAGGAGAACGAGAGAAAAGACAGACCAATATGAATGACAGAAAGCATGAACAACACAGATACAGCCAGACTCCACTCAGAGACGACAGTGAGAGGGAGAAAGGGAGAGATACGAAACAAGTTTAGCACCATTCCCGAGTTGCCAAACAAAACCCTAGGGCTTAAAGAGATTTTAAAAAACACTTTAGAATACCAACACCTTGTTCTGTGGTAGAATACTTAGACATAATGGGGATTTTCACTAACACCAAAGATATACTCCTGACAAGGAATAATATCGAAAAACTACAAAACAAACAACTGAAAACTCTGTATACGTACTAAACCTGTTAGAAACTAGAAGACTAGCTAAAAACTCTGCAGTGGCTAAGAAAAGGATTAAATAGTAAGTATTGGTTTTACTGCTATCTAAAGCAAAATAATCACGTGCAACTTATCTGTAAATAAAAAATACCAGTCCACATATACATGTCTACAACAATAAAGCACATTTTTAGGAATTAGGTTGAACATTTTGATATGAATAGCTTTTACAAACCCACTAAAACAACAACTGAGACATGAAACATTAAGTACAGAGAGCAAGACTGAGAGAGAGAAAAGATTAGCTTTGGTACAAGTTGGCTATGGTGCTGAATGTCCTGCATTTATTGTGGTAGGATGACAGAGGAGAGCGGTGACAGTGACAATGACAATGTGAACCCAGAGTAAAAAAGGGAAAAACCTAATGTGTCAGAGAGATGCAATACATTAATGAATATTGTCCACTCATATTTGCAAACCTAATACCATAAAGCACAATACAGTGTAATCCAAAACAGCAACATTACAAATGAAAGCCTCAAAAATGAGTATGGAGTTCAAACAAAGAAAAGTACTGTACTGTAAAACTAGTATGGTGCTGAAAAACTTTCCAGACTGCAGCCAAACGTACTACCACCTTTCAACATATACACGGAACAAATACTTCATTGTTATCAAATGAAAAAGTGTAAAAAGGTTAGACAAACAAAGTTGCATTAAAGAAGGCATGACTGTATCCTACACCAACAGTCATTTTACCACACAACACTATACTTACACTAATTCTGGTCATATTTTGACTCGAAAACCTCTGCATACACACACGGCCAGGCTAATGAAAGCCTATCTCAGAGGAATAAGGCTGCCCTGGTTTCCTGCAGCACAAAGCTAATTGTTCTTCCTGTAACCCTGTATTGCCCTGTGTAAGACTCAGCCCAAACATTTAGGGAAAAAAAATAAAAGTCAGGACAAACACACCTAGAGCAACTTTGGCTTCCTGTGTCCATATTCTTATTAAAACTCTTATGGAGATATAAAACATGGTAAAGTGCTACAGTAAAATACCATGGGAGACGAGCATATGAACAAATGAACAGCTCTGAGAGATGGCGTCTCCAAAGGGAGGTGAGAACTTATGGGATGACATAACTATCTTGCTTTTAGGTTGCATAAGCTCTATATATTTTAACAAGACATAACACCTTCTGGATGTGCTGTATCCCAAAGGATAGATGTTAACATGGCTTTGAGTTACAAATAGAACCAGGTATGGGACGAGAGACTGTTTAGGAGTCCAATTACTCCACAGTCTAAATGTCTCTCTGGGAGATAAGACAGCCCGAGAGCATGACAAACAACTGTGACATTAAAGCTTATGCAACAACAACCTCCAGATTACACACACACACACACACACACAGGGATGTTATTGTACATGTCATATGCCTTTCATGTGCTCTGTGGATGGTTGTATTATTTGCATCTAGACTACAGTATCTTTTAATATCCCTCTACCGCAGAGCCATCTGTCCATACAACAATCAACCCTCTCCTCGTTTCGTCTGTGCCCTACTCCACAGGGGGCCATCAATAATGAAAGACAAAAAGACAGGAGAAGGGAATTTAGCCAAAAAGGGACAAACACAAAGGTTTCTTCTACCTTTGTGTTTGACACTGTCCTGTAAAAGGCCACCACAAAGACTGGACAGGGAGCAGAGCTACAGACAGGAACATACCAACAAACACAAAACCCAACGTTAAACATACAGACACTGCAGCCAGGTTATAGTCAGGTTATATTTACATACAGACGAAGAACAAATTCACTAAACTCACTGAAAATCTTGCAAGTTAAGAAATGAGACGTAAAATATTTGCAGTAACTGCACCCTAGTCATTCAAATAGGTGGGGCATTGCTGTCAGTTTAGATTAGCAGGTCTCTAACGCTAACTATAGCTAGTTAAAATGTGTGGTGACTAACCTAAGTTAGTTATTTAACGAAGTTTGCTTTAACGCTATGTCAATAAAGATGTTATCTAGCGATAGAGATAAGTTGACATGTAAACACAGGCAGTGACAGCAGACAGAGGCTGTCATGTCTGTCCTATTAACACAGCGTTAGATACAGTGTTTAGTTAACTGGTTAGTAGCTGTGGGTTAATTAACCTAACAATGTCTAATAAAGCTAACATAAGTTAACTGTGAAATATTTAACAGATTAGCTCAGTCGCTATCGTTAGGGTTCAAGCACAGGGTTAATTCAACGTTACGCTTCTTTGCAGACTGGTATTGTTTCATAACAATGATAGAAAATGTCAACAACAACTAACGTTAGCCATTACCGACTGTGATATGTTAGTAATATCAACAATACGGCGACAAACAAACAGCGTTAACGCCGCCGTGTGCTGCTAGCTAATGTGAGCTAACCGAGTATAAGGTTAGTAGACACATCTGGACAGCACACCGCGGAGACAACCTTTACAAACACAACACCGTGTCTTTTTCTTTTAATGCACCAGCTCTCACATCGTTACACCTTCACAGCTTCTGCTACACGAAGCACTCTCACACACACACGGTACTTACGGCCGAGCAGGTCGACTGAGCGGTACACTCCGGGGCATCAGACACTGTTCAGGGATGTTGTTGTGAAGACTGTAGGTGTTTCAGCACAGCCGGGGCTCGCTGCTGCCGCTGTCACCAGGCCTGCACCATGTGCTGCTGCATGTACTGTCGCCATCTTCTGTTTATACACTGGCAGTGCGGGGATGTGTGTCTGCAGGGTAGGGGCATTTCTGAACAGTACTGCAAACCATTTAATCCACTGCCTTTTTGCTAAACTGACCTATTTTCACTAGTTCAGATACTAGACCCCTCCAAGCAACCTTTGAATCCCAAACCCACTCTTAAGGAAGGCAGACAACCAGATCTACCAAATGGTCTTTACAGTGAAATTATTTATTTTAGAGTTATATGGCTGTGCAGCTGTATTATTGTTGCTTTGCATGTATGACATTACAACAGATAACCCAAGCTTCCAAAAGCAGAAACATTTTTAAAGCATATGACCAACCTAATAATCATCATTTTATTCACTGTATGTATACAGGAAATAAAAGTAATAGATTTTATTCTGGCCAAAAGATCCATTCTCATCAAATAAGCGCACTTAACACTGAAACAGAGCTCAAATCTATTTGTCCACCACACTTCATATCAAAATTCTGATTTAATCATTTGTTAAAAAAAAAAACTGGATTCCACAAAACATGACATTTAGAAAAGCTTATGCACTTACAATGAATATAGAAAAATACATAAATCATTACTATACAGTGAAAACCTTCCTTCCTTCCTGTTACCGTTCTTCCCGTAAAGATGTCAGTGTATTATGCAATACAAGATACATGCTGGGTTGTTTTCTGTGAAACTGCGGTTACAGTATACTGGATCAACAAAACTGCAGTTGTATCAACCACTCAAGTAGAGTACATGCACATTTTTTAATTATACTGATATCCTTTTCATTACTTTTTAAAGCCTACCAGGACTTTTAATGATTTAACAAATAATTTCACTACTAAGACCTTTATTCTGCAACAATTTTTAATTATTGTCATTGCTGACTCATTTATTTCTCTGTACAAGTAGTAAACCCCAAGAGCCCAAAGAGAACCATTTCTGCTACAGAGGTTTGTCTCAAATTTACCTCATGGGAATCCCAGTTCAGGACAACACAGAGGTTCATTTAATGTTATTCCTCTATTGTCCTACAGTACAGTCACAAACATGTCCGACCATTTCAGTGACTCTCTATATAAGTGTATTATGTCAATTTATTCTGCACAAATGTTTTATTTATTACCATTTTGTATGATTCCATATGTGTGTATGGATGTATGTATAATTTTATTACATCACGCATTATATTATTTTTTCATTTCTAAAAAACTATACACATGACTTGTATGTCTATAACTTAGGCCCAACCCCCCCTTTCTGTGTTCTCCAGAATCTCCTCATAAAGCCAGCTGTGCAAGAACTCCGAACTACTGTCAATCAGCTTGAACAGGTCACGATACTGCTCTGGATACACAGAGCCTGTCCATATGTCTTCCTGCAAGCCCAACTCCGATAAGAGCAGACTTCCACTTTCTGGAGACCAGACACTAGAAAAACACAAAAGAAGGAGAATAAGCAAGAGGAAAATAAGGTGAGTAAGTAAGTACGTTAGTCTTCCACCAAGAGAAGTTCTTTGATGCAACATGTGCAATGTGTTGGCTGCAGGCCTGTCTCAATAGCTCTCT